CAGCCTTGACATAAACGCATGAATATATTATTTAAATGTTCAGATGTTTACCTGATCTCAAAATATTTTTGCGTCCTACAACTGGAATTTCAGATTCCAATCATTGAAACTGTCTCAAATTTTGCTCGTGTTTAAAATATTGATCAAGTTAAAAACAATGTGACATGCGGTACGATTAATTAATTTATGTTAATCACATTCTAGCCTGTTACAAAGACGAAAGAGACTATACGAGTTTTCACCAAGCAATTTCTAATGGGGACTATCTTCTCTCTAAACTGCAAGACGCGGATGGTGGTGCAAACACACCTACTTGTCTCTTGAAGAAAGTACGAGTGGCAGAAATTTTGTGACCTTTTGGGACCCCAAAACCCCTAAGCGATAAGGGTGTAAAAATGTTACGTTTGGTGATTATGTCTTCGTAACCTCAAGGTGTCTACAGTGTTCAACACACAAAATATTTTTTGTCAATTCACGGAGGTTTTCTGACCTTAATTAATTAATGGAAAACTATAGATACGTATTAAGTAGATGATCCTGATTCATTAAGTGGTGACATTTTAATAAACTGGAAATTGGCAATTTTTTATATTTACCAATAAAAACTTCAATAACATTCAGGAACTAATAAACTGAAATCAGATTGTCAACCTTGACATACGAGCATAAGAAATATACCTACTCATTATCCATTTTTCTATACACTCAAGATATTGTACGCATCTTTTATGTTCATCCAAAAAGAGCCTAGTAGAATCCAGATATGATAATCACTTATTTAGCATGTCGTTTTGTCTACCTAAATTTAGTTAGCATAGGCGACCCTGGCGAAAAAGCTTAATAAAGCATCCAACAAAATAAATATACACTGTGTCCAAGATAAGGATGTCTATCATGGTGATCTCGGAAACCATAGAAGATACGGTGGTCAAATTAGGGAAAAGTTGCGTATTTAAAGAAAACCTGAAAATTCCGATTATTTCCGAAGATGTGCCAGAAAAACCGAAATTTGCTGATTTGGTTTTTATTTTTCTTGATTTATTTGAGCAGTTACAGAAAAATAAAAACCACTTTCTCATTGCCACTTTTTGAGCTCTACAAGATAACGTTGACCGATTTTAATACAACGTTTCGCTTCGGAGAAATCATCATCAACTTTATTTTTTTGTATAGCCCGTGAAAAAGGTACATACTATAATTGAGTACCATTTTTAATTACGAATACAACGAGAAGATCCGAGAAAGGATGGAGGAAGAAGAATAAAATGGCAATACACCAAAAATGGGATATATGGAGCTCATGATAAATGATACATGGTTCAAGTGGGACGAAAGAGATGATAATTTAACGACAAAAAACTAAACAAGCATACACAATCGGGGACGAGGGGGGAAGATCACACAAACAATTAACAAAGAAACAACAGGTGACAACAAAAACAAACAAAAAAAGAAAGAAAAAAAGAAAAAACATGACAAAAAAAGGAAACATCAAAATTGGATTCTGGAGGGAATCAGCAACAAGGATGAAGAATTTTGGGAGTACGTGAAAACTGTAATCGGCATGATAGAAGTATGGGTAGAAGAAAAATATTGGGAAAATTGGGAGAAAAACTACCAAAAGATTTTGCACGGGAATATCAATACACCAGAAGGGAAAACAAAAAAGGAAGATCCGACGGAAGAATATTAACTGGTGTAAGAAAAACGATGCGGAAACACGAAAATGGAATACAAGAAAGAAAAATGATACTAAAAGATGTACGATGGACAATCACATGATTATGAAAAGGATCGTGGACGACCTGAACAAGATAGAGGAATCGGAAGATGATGTTATAATAATAGGAGGGGATCTAAACGCGCGGATAGGCAAGGAAGGGTCATGGATCGCTTGCACAGAAGAAAAAGAAGAAGGCAACAAAAGAAAATCAAAAGATAACGTGACAAATAAAGAAGGAAAAGAATTGATTCATTTCGTAGAAGAAAAAGGGTGGTACATCCACAACGGTAACGTGAAAGGAGACGAAGAGAGAGAATAGGAAGCAGAGGGCAGTCGGTAATGGACTATATTATTCTAAATGAAAAAGGGAAAGAGCACTTAAAAAATTTTCAAGGAAACGAAAGAATAGAATCCGGTCATCCAATATCCACAACGATGAAAGACAGTACTGACACACAAACTACAAAACAAACAAAAGAAATTACAAAAACGAGACAAATCTGGACAGAACAAACAACAGAAAAATACAGAAAACATCTAAAGCAGATAGAATTCAAAGAGTCTGAATGTACTAGAAGAAATCAAAAAGGCAAAACGAAGTTGTGACAGAAAAAACATCAAAAATAAACAACTGGACACCAGGAAGAAGCAAGTGGTGGGACACAGAATGTAAAGAGAAAACAAATTACAAGAAAAGCCCTAATGGATTGGAAAACAGAAAAAGACACAGGCGAAGAGTACAGAACAAAGAAGGAAGAATATAAGGATACAAATGCAAACGCAAAAAAAGAAGAATTACAAAAAGAGGAAATAAGAGAATTACAAAGCATCAAAAACGAAAATGAAGTGTGGAAATTTATAAACAAAGGGAGGGAAAATAAAGAAGGAATACATTGGAGAAGAAGAAGGAAAAAACTAGTTTATACAAAGTTTAAACGGACAGATAAGCTTCAGAGGGGAAAAAACAAAAAGAAGAAGTGAAAGGGAGGATGAAGAAATAGAGGAAGAAGAAATGGAAGCAGAAATAGCAAAGATGAAAAGAAGTTCCTGGACCAGACCAAATAACAAATGAGATTATAATACATGCTCCGGAAAACGTGAAACAGCAAATCAGAAAAATTATTAACAGGGTATGAAGAGGAGGAGGATTTCCGGAAAGTTGGAAAGAAAGAGAAATATGCCCAATATACAAGAAAGGAAACAAAGATGACATCAAAAACTATAGGGGAATCACACTCCTAAACTCAACATACAAACTTTACGCTAAAATACTAAACAACTGCTTAAATACCACAAATGGGCTTTAGGAAGGGAAGGGGGACGATAGACAACATATACATAATAAATCACGCAGTACAACAAGAACTGGGAAAGAAAGCAGGTAAAGTCTACGCCCTATTCATAAATCTAAAAGCAGCATTCGATAATCTAGGCAGGAACGAATTATATAAGAGCCTGCAAAGTGGAAAAGAAAAATTTCGACAGCAACACGATAGAAAGGATTAAAAAAACCTATAGAGAAAAAAGAGTAAAGTTAAGGTCAATAGCAAACACACAGACGATTTTTGGACGGAAAATGGAGTCAGACAAGGATGTCAGCTAAGTGCAACCCTTTTCAACATTTATGTAGCAGACCTGGTAGAAGCATTAAGAAAAGGCAAGCAGGAGGGAAAAAAATTGGAGGACAAAAGATATGGTCATTAACATACGCGGATGACATGGTGCTCCTTGCAACAGAGCAATCAGAAATAAAGGAAATGATCACACAGTTAGAAAGGTACGCAAGAAGAAAGAAATTCATAATAAGCACAGAAAAATCAAAAATAATCGTTTTTACAAAAGGAAGAAAGAAGAATAAGGACGAGACATCGTGGAAAATCGAAGGAAGAGAAATAGAAGAAGTTTCGGAATTTAAATACCTTGGGTACACACTAATGAAAAACGGAGGACCAAGTGCTCACATAAGACAAATAAAGAATAAATCAAATGGATTAATACCGCAGATATGGGACATAGTAAAAAGAAAATTAAAAACAACTATAGAATAAAGAAAATTATGGTCGACTACCTGATCAAAAGCACAGTGATGTACGGGGCAGAAATATGGGGGTGGAAGGAGATAGAGGACTTCGAGCGGATACAAAACAAATACATAAAATGGATCCTAGGATTGGCAAGAGATACCCCAACTTACATACTTCTGGAGGAAACCAAACAAGCTAAGTTGAGGATAGAAGCGGGATATAAAGCAGTTAAATACGAAGGATAGAAAAAGGAGAAAACGGGTTACTAAAAGAAACTCTCAAGGAGAGAAAGAAGACCAAAAAATCAAAGTGAACAGAAAAAAGAAGATATTTCCAAAGGAATGGGTATGCAGAAGATGAGGCGGAAAGATTAAAAGGAGAGAGGGAGTAAATATACCAATGATTATGAACGAGAGAGACAAAGACAACCAATTACAATACCAAATCAATCGAATAGAAAACAGTACCTACAATAGCACGTACAAAAAAATAAAAACATAACACTAGGCAAAATATCTACAGAAGAACAACAAATATATAAAAACCATTGCAAGATTTAGATACGGAAATGAAAACAGGATTGGGAAAAGATGGAAGGAAGAAAAGTGCAGACTATGTAAGGAAGAAACAGAGACGATAGAACACGTGATATACAGATGCAGCAAAACCAAGACGAGCAAAACAGTAAAGGAAATATTATAGGAAGATGGAAGAGGAATCGACTGGATGAGAAGGACGTTGCAGAGAAGAGAGGAAGCGAAAAGAGAGGAATAAGAATAAACATTATTTAGCTATTTATGATGTTGTTAGATTAAAATGCAGTAGAAAGTCTATTTGTTTATATCGAAACTTTTTTAGTATCATATATATGCTATGTACATACCTAAGAGTCCCCGAAACCGAAAGGCTAGGGTTAAATAAAAAAAATAAAAAAATACGAGAAGAGATGGAAACTGTTGGTTTTAACAGGATGGTGCATCCGCACACAACACCCTAACCGTGCGCCAATGCATATCGCACAAATTTCCTGGAAAATGGAAAATAAATCCGATAGGTATTTTCTGAAATAGTGGCAATGAGAAAGTGTTTTTTTAAGCTGTTCAAATAACATAAGAAAAAAATAAAAACGGAATCGTCAAATTTCGGTTTTTCTGGCATATCTTCGATTATAAATGCTTATCAGTGATCAACGTTGCCCTACGCACTCTATTATCTCTAAGAGAAATATTACACCAACTTTTGCTTAAATTTACTTAGTTTGTGCTTCAAATTTCATAAAAATAATGTGTGCCTTGCACGATTTTCCCAAATCACCCTTAGACATTTACCGAGAAAAGGCATCTTTCGAGTGGAAGAAACTGAAAACGATTTTGTATTCCACTGAGTCGATTAATTTTCAGGTAATTATTATGTTCTGGTCCCTTCCTAAATAGTATGATCTCAACAGATCAAATACTACGATGAACTTAGAAAGCATCCCACCTTGCTTCACAAGTCTCCGTTGACCCCTTCTCAGGGGAATCAAAAGAGGATCGCTACAATGGAAATGTTCGACTGTATCGACATAAAGAAGAACTGGAATTGTGAATGTGCGCCACTTGAAAAAGACTTTAAAGTAACTGTCAATAATGTCCCCAGTCTAAAGTCCGGCTTTGTTTTTAATCTATTTTCGGATGCTATATCCACAATGGGTACGGAGCGTCACCAAGAACTTGCCAAAAGAAGTTTAAGGGGAGAGGTAGGTGGTCATGTTTTTTGCTCGTCTATCTTTAAATTATCACCTCAGATCATAGGGTCACTTGCTCTAACTGAAATTGGGCATGGCTCTGACGCGAATTGTATTCAAACCAGAGCGGTATACGATAAACATGCAAGAGAGTTTGTTTTAAATACACCAGGCTTTCTGGCGGCGAAGTGTTGGATGTTAAATGTGGGTAAGTCATACAGAATTCAGTTAAAAGTGCTCTTAGGTTAATTAATGTCATGCAGATATTTCAGAGAATGATACTACTCGTCAATTACCGAAAACCCAAATCTCTAGTTGGCCTAGGGGCCGAGATCTTGACGGTACAGACAGACGACAGACAGACCACGAAAAATCGAGCACATATGCCTGGTTTAAAAGTCGTCGTTTTCGATATACGGAGTGTAAAAGAAAATGTAACACTGTATACTGAGACTAACTATTTTGATACTCTATTGTAGAGATTTTAAAAAGTATTGATATAGCAAATTTGAAACAAGTATCACAGAACATTTAGAGAGAAAACGCAAAATACGAGAAAAACAATTGAAACTTTGCCACCCTGTATAACGACGCGCTTTAGACCATGTAGGTATGTATTTGAATGTGTTTCTTATTTATTTGAAGAACCCCATGAAATATCTGTATGGCATTATTTAACTCTCTATACAACGCCTTGTGTCCCCATGATAAGGACGTCTATCGTAGGGCTCTACGACACCATAGATAGAGAGTAAGAGAGTTATTATCATGCTTTAAAGAAAACCAGAACATTCCGATACAGATACACCGTGAATTTATTTGCGTAATATTTGAAAAGTTTATCTCATGTTTCTGTCCGGTCGCAGATTTGTTACGCTTATCGCTAAGACGTTGATTAATTTTGTAAACAGATGTTGGCACAGGTGTTGTTTTAACAAAAGAATAAGGAAGTGAGAAGAAGAATTTGTTAACCTCTGTTTTTTGCCGTGGTCTATGACCTGGGATCTTTCGCCTTTTTCCGTTCGCTTTTTCGCCGCCGCCGCGCCGTGGTGTAGTTCCTGTTAAGTAGAAGTTACGATCCTGGATGTTCAGGCTAATTGTTTTTATGTGACTATAAATTCTTCTGACTGAAGTTTTCTGCATTCTTAGTATTGTTGTGCAAACTACAGGGGGGTGTCGTTTCTCTAGGTTAAAACAATGGGAGCGAGCCACCCTGCAGTGAAAAAATTTCGTGTTGCTCGTAATTTCGGTTGAAGTATTCGAAATCCTGTATGTAAAATGACTCAACTTATTTCGTAAGATGTGGGAATTTGATTTCAAATAGACAGAGGATTAGAAAAATTTGTTGAGTTGTCATTTTAATGTTAGTTAGTTGTTGTGCATTTAGTTACCAATTGTTTAATTCAGCGTATTTCAGTTGTTTTTAATGATAGAGACTTTTAATACCACAAACAAAATCAATCTAGCTACATTTGTTTTTGAGATACAGGGTGAAAACGAAAAGTTTCACTTTTTGGGATATTATCGTATCTTATACTACCCATGTAAGGTAGAAAAAAAGTAAAAACTGTGTATTTCAGATATTTCTACGCAGAATCCAGTGGCCTAGTAAAAAAAAACTGTTGGACCACAGTTTCTAAGATTTGACACCCTATATATCTTAACGTCAATTGTTTGGATTCGTGTAATGGGTGTGAGTTAATAACCGATTATGTATTAGATTTCTAACACATTTCTAACACATTCTTCTGCTGAGTAATGCCCATCCGGCTTTTGCATCTTACTAACAAATAATTGCAACTTTAGGTCATGCACATTGCACATACCAAACTCGAACAGTAAAATTCATTACTTTCATTATGCAAATTAGAAGAACAAATTCATATAGCTCATGTAATGGGTGGGCGCTCCAGTATAAAGAAAAGTATTCTGTTCAACATAGGAAAATTTACACATGCACCTCTTCATAGCGAACGTGATTGAAAGTATGTCTGGTGATAACCAGCGATAACAACAACGTTTTGCGGAAAACAAACGCGGTTCCCAAGATCTCTGGGGACCTAAAAGTTGCGTTTCGTTCTGTTTTAAAGCCGAGAACGTGACCAAAATGCTGCTTCACTGGTCGTTTAAAAAAGTACGCAAGTCGAGATCTTTGCGTACAGAAAGGAAGGCCCCATTAGCGAAAGAAATGGGAGAGTGAGACACTCTTGCTTGAGTTCGCGAGTCGAAACGTACTATTTGGTTGCATTAACAATTAGATTCGAGGACGAATTTGCAAGCGATCACGTGTACTGCTTGCGCATGAAATTTTCTACTGTTGAAGATTCATTCTTAGTTGATTTTCGCGAACCATCATGTACCATTTTAAGTGCGCTGAAATTGAATTCTTAGCGAAGTTGTAAAAGCAGGCGCGTGCCATTGTGTGTGCGAAAAAGTTTATTTAGTGTATTTGCAAGGATTTGCGGGGAAGAAAATTCAAGAGCCACCACGTGCGAGTTCATATAGTCGCTGTAAAGTTGAACTACTTTTGAGTGGAAATAAAGAAAACAGCTAACTGTTGCTAAATTTCAATCGCGTCGTTAAGAAGCGTGTAAGTAAAATCAGATTGACAAGGTGCAAGTTTAAATTTATGTTGGGACCCCGGTTTTATTCTAATTTGTAACAAGGCCGTTCATTTACGAGTGATAAAATTTACACGAAAGAACATTTTTGGGTAGGAGTGCATTAATCAAACCGCGATTAAATAAACTGATAAAACTCATTGTGAGGGCTCTTCTTCGAACTTACTTAATAAATTGAGCAAAATTAGCATTAACACTGTGACGTACCCAGGCCAGCCCCGAGAGACTGCGCCACTCAAGATTTAAATTCAAAACTTTCCCTCTCAAACTAACTGAACCCCATGGCACATGATCGTCTAGACAAAGCTACCTAACCAGAATAACAAAATAATAGGACCACTTACTACGTTGTGTTTTTAAGAGTCGCTACAAGATATGTGTTGCTTGTCAGAGTGAGGATCAAGTAAGGAATACAAATAAAACAAGTACATGCTTTAAAAACGGAGATTTAATCAAAATAATTCGCATTGCAAGATTAAATTTAGAAAATGGTAGTTCACCGAGTACAAATACAAAAATAGGCTGGGAAAAAAGAACTGACCAAGAAAAAAACCGGCTAACAAATTAATATTAAACTTTACAGCAAAATTAGTTGTCTGTAATGACATAAATGCATGTTATGATGGAAGTAAATTAATATAATGTCGAATCACAGGCTTCATTGGAATTCCTAATGAATCAATATTTCACACACATAACATTAAAAAACCAATCATTAAAACATTGCAATAAATTCACATAACAAGTTTGGATATTGGATGGCCAGTCCAAATCCCACACCGAGTAGTCTTTAGTTGCTCTGGTCATGACATGTCAGTATTGTATGAAAACGCTAGGAGTTGACCTCTCAGAAGAGCATTTCACACAGGAAGGATACAAAAAAACAAAGGGCACAACGGGAACACGCCGTATGCTTTTAGCAGATCCCTGCGCAAGTGAGGCCGGGACTTGCCTGCGCCCTCATGTACGACTAAGCGGGACCCCAACCCTTTCATTCACACATCTCTAGGGCCAGTCCAACCAACGAGTTATAAAGTGCCGGGTTATAAATTGCCGAACTCCAGGCTCTCTACCATGAGTACTGACAGTAACCGATCAAAAGACACATCATGACATAACAAAAATAATAGAGCAACCATCGGCAAACTCGCACGCATACATAATCATAAACAATAGTATATTGAAAGACAAGTGTTACAATGCGACCTATTGTAATACGACTATCTTGTGGCACGAGTGGCGACGCGAAGCGTAGCCACGTACGTCACTCGCTTCCAGATGAAGCACCCTGTTAATAAACAGTAACATATTCATGCAAAAAAAGGGAAGTGTGCTGCAATAAATTCAATTATAATTTAAAATGTAGTTCTGCATACTTGTATTGAATACCATCCCTAAGGGAACATACTATATCTAAATATAAATAAAACACGTAAATCGGTCAGTAATTCATATTGCGGGTTGGCGGGCAAAACCAGCGCTTGGAACAAAAGAGTACTGTAACTTGGGAAACAACATATTTACGTAGAATCTCTATGCATTCAATTCAAAGTATGACCAGTATAATTAAAAATAGGCAATTTGTATTTAGAATGGGTTATAAATGGCAATAATCATGCTGTACGAGAATACCGTTAAATTGGCAAATAATCTAACACGATCATATTATTACTAGATGGATGCAATAGTCGATAAAAACGATAAGAAAAGAGTACGTCACTTTTGTAATTGTCGAAGCTGCACTCACTATCGAAACGTAAAAAATTACTTCTGCCCTCAACAAAACCACAAATACCTCTGCCTAACTTTGCCCTTTTTTAAGCAAATCGTAGACGATCCTAGTCGCTGGTATAGTTTACCTTTGAGTAAGTAAGGGTGCAGTCCGATGTTTCCCGGGAAATTTGGTGATAACTGATAATTATACGATTTCTATAATAATAATAATAATAATAATAAAAGGGTAATTTAATAAATTCCATGGACGAGAATGAAACTTATAAGTATCTTGGTTTTCAGCAAAACACACACATTAAACATACGAGTATAAAACAAACACTTATCACACAATACCTACAAAGGATACGCAGTATACTTAAAACAAAATTACACGGTAGAAACACAATCAAAGCTATTAACACTTATGCCACACCAGTACTTACATACTCTTTTGGAATTATACGTTGGACAAATACAGATTTAGAACAAATACAGAGAAACACACGTACACTATTAACAAAACACCATATACATCACCCTCACTCCTCTACTATACGACTTTACCTTCCTCGTCCGGAAGGAGGTAGAGGACTTACAGATATAAAACTATTGCACCAAACACAAATACACAATTTACGACAATACTTTTATAACAAATCAGATACTTCAGTCCTACACAAAACAGTAACATATGCAGACAAATCTTACACACCACTTAATCTACACGAAACTAATATACTCCCACCCACATCCAAACTTACATACATCACAAATAACATACAAATATGGAACCAAAAGCCTTTACATGGACGATTTCCACAAGAGGTTAGCCAGGATTGTGTTGATTCTATAGCAACGCACAGTTGGTTGT